CCACACTGCATCAAATTAAAGTTGATTACATCGATTAAGCATCATGAGGTGGAGGGTGGGGGGGTTCACTATTTTTTATTTATTTATTTTTTTGCTGGGAGTTTGCAGCCCTGTTAGGTTGTTTAATATTTCTGCTAAGTACTCTTTAAAACACCAGAACAGGGAGGATGGTGCAGGTTTAAATTTATTAGATTGATCAGTTTTGCTGAACTATGAAATATTTTGGGTGCAGTGTGTTTTTCACACACAGGTGTAACAGGATAGCTTTAGTGTTTGTACTGTGTTTTTAAACTTGAGTATGAACTTATACAAAATGCAGCAAGATATTTAAAAAACAGTTTTATTGATTAAAAACACCATATCAGTATCAGACATAAAAAAGTGGTATCGTGCCATCTCTAATCTCAATCAGACCTTAAAGCAGGAAAGAGTTTACTGAGCTCAGGGACCAGTAATAAGGTCAGAGCTGCCACCTGCTGGGCATTAGAGAGAATGCAGGTTAAAGAAGCAGAGTCCTCCTCTGTAAAGTCTGTTTGAAACGGAGTGAAGACTTTTCACTAAAGATGATAAAACTCTTTGTCAGGTTGCCTGTGATCGATGAGTCGTCCTTCCTGTCTCACTCTGACATCAGCTACGATCGCACCGACGACGATGTGGTACGAACATTAACCCGACACGTGCACCATGCCTGCAGTGTAAGAACACTTTAACATTCTTTGTCATGGTGTTTCAGGATTTGGACACAACTGTGATCCAACCGCTGAGGTCTCGAGCGAGAGAGAGGAGGGTAACACGCCGTCATATATTTACTTGTTTGTTCATCCATCAGATTTTGCGTGGAAACATTTCGCCGGTGGTGCAGGGTGCAGCCTCTGCTCCCCTGGCTTTCTGATGATATGCTGTTCTCCACAGCGTTCCTCGATGGGTCTGCCTGTTGGTGCTACGGTCAGGAAACGAAGCAGAGGCAGGAACTTGTCAGCAGAGCTTCTGGAGAGGAAAACTGTGGAGAAGGTGAACCGACTGAGATGTTATGTTCTCACTTGACCTCGCCTTGTTAGTACTAGGCTGGGCCTTTTCTTAATTCTTTATGGGGCAGATTAACAAAGAGCTGGAAGGAACATGGCAGTGATATCATTAGAAATTACAATTGGCTAGCTGCCGGGACAGGTGTGGTCTTCTGTTTCTGTGAACTCGGAGATGGTTGGTGGAAAAATCCCAGCAGATCAGCAGTTTCTGAAATGCAGACCAACAACAATTTAAGTTCAGACTCACTTTCTGTTCTGAATGATTCACTGCTGTGTGGTTGTTAATGCAAGTATCTGATTAACCAATCAGTTGAACAGTTGTACCTAATGAAGTGGCTGGTGATTTTCCATGTTGATTTTAAATCTACCACAACAAAGTCATTAATGAACAGAAGAATTAACTGCTTAAAGTTCTGTTTGTTCCTGCTGTACCTGAACGTTTCTGATGCCTCCACTGACTCAAACTATGAAAGTCGTCCTGATAGCCTCTGCAGAGGAACCGCCATAAAACATGTTTCTAAAGGCTCTCCTGTGGCTCTGATTCTTTGAACTTACTCAGGAGGTGGAGACCGTTGTGAAGGCCTCCATCATTTCTAATGACACTGGAGGCCAGGTCCACATGGTGCTGGGAATCACTCAGGAAACCTCCGAAAACTCTCCCCAGACTATCACCCAGGAGTGTAGCGTCTCAGCAGGAGGTCAGCTCTACATTCAAGATACAAGATGTTTGTTGTCACGTTCGCAGAGCGAATTCTTACTTTGCAGATTCGATTCACACAACTAAAAGAAGGTAATAATAAGTAAAACAGTGCTTTGTAGATCTTGTAGCTCATATGTGGGTGTAAACAGAATTGAAAGTGCAAGTAGTTTCAGCATTCAGTCATAATATATACAGAGCATGCAATATTAAGGTGTCTGTGCAGTCTTAAACACAACGCAGTTTTTAGCACCAAAGCAGTCCTGAAGCACCGAATCATACTCTTCACTCCAAACTTTAGTAAGTTTACTCACTGGGGGGCTCGTTTGAGGGGCTGCCTGTATGCTGGATGGATAGATTTTTAATTCATTTCAGCTTCATGTCCAGACCAGTGACGGATTAATGACAAGACCTCTGCTTTTAAAGAATGAGGATCTACCAGGTTCACTACAGTTGGGCTGCTTTGGACATCATGCTTTAGACGACCGATCAGAGAATCAGTCAGAGGAGTTTCTCTTTTAGCCTCTTTTTTTTTTGTTTGTTTCTTTTAATCTGTTGCTGTCAGAACAGGTGAGACAACCCGTGTTTTGCACTCTGTCCTTCAGGCCAGACCTCGGTGTGGTTTCCCTGCAATGACTCGGTCCCCGGTCCTGAGGGTGAAGCTCTGGTCGAGGAGAAAGTCGGGAACATTGGCAGAGACCAGAAAGCCTCCAAACACACCTTTGTGTCAAAGACGGTACGACGAGCGTTGGGCCATTTACTTTTTTGTGGAAGTAACTGAGTTAGTAACTTGGTTATGGTAATATAAAAGTAACATTTGCGTTACTTTGGAAAAATGTTTACTATACTTGACTATATACATTTTAGTATGTTCAGTAGTTTATTATAAAACTGAATACATTGAAATAAATGAACTTACCAGAAGGAAGTAACAGGAAACAATCTAAACTGTTCAAATGTCACTGTGACGATATTATAGACACAGGTTGGACATCATGTAACTGCTGTGGAGTTATTTCCACATGTTGTAATAACAGAACAATAAAAAAACGACCTTTTTTATATTTATTCCACGTCAGCAGGCTGCACCTGGCTATGTAATAAGTGTACAATAAAACTTTTATGCTTTTTGAGCAAATTAAAGAAGCCAAACCGTCACAATGTCAGATCGTCGTGGCTGAACAAGTGTTTTCTTCCACGCTAAAGTGATTTCAGTGTAATACTGAAACAATAGGTTCACTGTATAACAAAACTAAGGAATCAAAATGTAACATCCATGGCTGTCTTTGACAATCCATCTCAAGTCACATGAGTGCTGTTCTCACAGTAGAGTCGTATTAGAGTTTCCTGTTTTAATGCCCTCTGCTTATATTCAAATATAAAGCATTCTTATTGGCCACATCCATCCAACCATCCACTGTAGATAAAGCAGCATGTTCTTGATGACATACCTGCCGCTCAGGCTGTTTTAATTCCGTCCGTGTCACAGATGTTTGTGGAGGAGAGAAATCAAGCTTGGATGGTGTCACCTTGTTATTCTCCGAGCTCGTGTTAGCCTCATCGGGGTTTGGGCTGCGCCTGCTAGCATCACCGCCCTCATTCTTGGCGACTAGTTTTGTTGAAGCATGTGATGTATCATGAGATTCAAATTGCTTACACATTCTTACAGATACAGTTTCTTGCCTTTTTATCTCTTAGACAGAAAAGTGATGTCTGTACTTCCACTTAAATGCTTCCTTTGAATTGTTGTTTATGTGCTCACTGTCCATATCTGTTTGTACGTGAATGGTAAATGGCCTGTATTTGTATAGCGCTTTTACTAGTCCCCCAAAGCGCTTTACACACCCAGTCATCCACCCATTCACACACTGGTGGAGGCAGCTATAAGTTGTAGCCACAGCTGTCCTGGGGCAGACTGACAGAAGCGAGGCTGCCATATCGCACCATCGGCCCCTCTGACCACCACCAGCAGGCGGTAGGTGAAGTGTCTTGCCCAAGGACACAACGACCGAGACTGTCCAAGCCGGGGCTCCAACCGGCAACCTTCCGATTACAAGGCGAACTCCCAACTCTTGAGCCACGATCGCCCCACACCTAAGTTTAAGTTGGCTGGTTTACCGTGGCTACTGTACTCTTTCTCAGCCAATCAGCAGCATTCGTGCCCACGCTGCATTTTCATGTTGGTAACAGCATTGCAACAATAGGGTAATGCCGATATTCCCATCATGGGGTGCAACCTCCTTGATGTTTACATTCAAGCTGCTCCGACATCACCTCTGATGGAGTAACGTGTCATTTCCCTCCAGGTGATCCGGCCGGAGACCTGCACGCCGTGTGGGAAGAGGATCCGCTTTGGTAAGATGGTGGTGAAGTGCAGGAACTGTCGCGTGGTTGCTCATCCGGAGTGTCGACAGAAGTTCGCTGATGGCTGCACAGCCTTCAATGCCACGGCAGGAAGTACAACTCAAACGGCAGCTAAGGTGTGAGCTGGAGGGAGGGGCTTCACTGTGACATCATAATATGCATCACAATAAACCTGCGGCAGTCATTTCAGTTGGTTGTGTTCGTGGACGACAGGGCGACTTTAGTGAGCTGGTTTAGTTTCCGTCTGTTTTGCTCGTCACTCGATTACTGTTGTATGTTTGGACATTTCTAGAGAAAAAGGTTCCTGGTGCAGGACTGTTTAAACCTTCGTCATAAATTGATAATTAAATGCACAACTCTGAAAGGCCAGTAGATCCCATCTTGAAATTGAACAGCTATTTTATTTTCAGGGATGGCTCTTTAACTGCTCAGGTGAAATACAATTCAGTTTTATTTACACGGCGCAAAATCACAACAGTTGCCTCAAGACTCCTTATATCGTACAATGATACAGAAAACAATCGGACGACGCCTTGTGAGCAAACGCTTGGGGACAGTGGGAAGGAAAAGCTTCCATCAGAACCGGGCTCAGGGAGGGGAGGCTATCTACTGCGGCAGGTTGGGGGTGAGGAACAGAGGTGAAACAGCTGGACAACAGCTGTGTAATTGAAAGCCTGCGCTTGTACAGCCCCAAGACTTTTAGATCAGTTTGAAATCAGGAAAAACCCGTTGGGCTGGATTGTAGATATTTTAACAAATGGGTCACAAAGACTTAGAATGAATGGGGTTCAGTCTGACCCAGTGTTCTCCTCCACAGGTTCTCCCCAAGGGTGCGTCTTATCGCCCTTATTATTCATTCTCTATACAAACACGTGTCAGGGCAGACATGAAAACAGGGCCGTCATTAAATATGCAGGTGACTCTGTTATTGTCAGCTTACTGAAAGAGGGTGAAACTGGCCACGGTCCAGTCATTGATGACTTTGTTCAGTGGTGGGAGGAGTCTTATCTCCAATGAACATATTTAAAACTAAAGATGAAGTTATTGATTTTAAGAAACAACAAAATGGGCACGGAGTCACTTTAATTAAAGGTCAGCAAGTCAAGCAAGTTCAATCATATAAAAATCTTGGGACCATAATCAATGAAAAACTGAACAAAATTGCAAATCAGTTAGTAAAAAAGTATCACCAGCTCCTTTATTGCCTCAGGAAACGTGCTCATTTGACACTGACCGAAAAATGTTAACTTTGTTTTGTCATTCATGAAAATGTCATTCTCAGTCAGTTTTATCCTTTTGTTTGATGGCACGGTTCAGTCAGACCTCTGTCACAGAGAAAAACTCGCTGAATCAGTGAGACGGTCCAGTCGTCTGATAGGTGAGCCACAGTCTCCCTGTACTCTAAGCAGGTACAGAGGATCAAGCCTTAAAAATGGTTCCCATCCTCTACGGGGTGAATTTCAGCTTCTTTCCTCAGGACGGAGGTTTTATTTCCAAGATGCAGGACAAGTTATAACACTTGCCTCCACTGCTTTGTCCCTGTTGCTGTCACTGAATTAAATAAGAACTGTTTTTCGATTTGAAATGTTTAAAGTACTATAGTCAGGTTTTTATTAGGTATGTGTGTTTTTGAAGGGATGCCAAATGCTATCTTTTTTTTCCATAAAGCAAATTTAGCTATGGGTATAAATAAAGTAACTTTGTTCAGGACTCGTTGGAGGACTTTGCTCCTCAGACTCATCCCAGAGTGCCTCAGCTGATTGTGGACTGCGTGGCCGAAATCGAGAGGAGGGGCCTGCAGGAGGTGAGCCGTTACGGTTTTGATCATTTGGGTTTATGGATGTATCAATTATAAAGACAGCTGTTTGTTCTGATACTCTGGGAATACATGAGGGTTGGATCCTCCTGTAGTAGAGGGCTGTGCATGCAAGGATGTGGATAAAGAAAACTTCCTGGAGTCCTGTCCCCAGCATGCACTTCCTGTATGTCTAACCTGTGTCTGCAGAGAGGCCTGTACAGAGTTCCTGGAGGTGAGCGTCTGGTAAAGGAGCTCAGAGACTGCTTCCTTCAGGGGAAATCTGCTCTGATGCTCAGTAAAGTCCAAGATGTCCATGTGGTCTGCGGACTGCTGAAAGACTTCCTGAGGAAGCTGAATGAACCTATGATCACCTTCAGACTGCACAGGACCTTTATGGAGGCTTCAGGTATGTTCAGACCTTTAAATTCCAGAGCTGAGACAGCGCCTAATGTCATGTCTTTTCAGAGCTGACTGATGAAGACAACTGCTCAGCTACCATGTATCAGGCCATAGCAGAGCTGCCAAAGGCCAACAGGGACACCCTTGCCTTCCTCATGATTCATTTACACAAGTAAGTCCTTCCACGAAGTCTCCACACAGAATTCGAGTACGCCTGAAGAGCTGCAGATGAGCACTTTGGGATTTTAAGGCTTTTTCTTTCTGAGCTTTGGTGCTTTCTGGGTCCTTTTTCAGAAGGTGGTCACCTCAAGGCAGCTGTTGTGACCTAATGTAATATAAATAAATCACCAAAGTAAAGTGTGTGTGTGTGTGTGTGTGTGTGTGTGTGTGTGTGTGTGTGTGTGTGTGTGTGTGTGTGTGTGTGTGTGTGTGTGTGTGTGTTTTTCTTTTTTTTAACTGCTCTTAATGTTTGAGGGTGATGAGGAGTCCTCAGTGCCAGATGGACCAGAATAACTTGTCCCGGGTGTTCGGCCCAACCATTGTGGGTCACGGGATGCCTGAGCCATCACCCAGCACCATCTTGAGAGACACCAACACTCAGCTGAAGGTCAGCCTCTCTAAATATCCAGACCGGAAGGTGGGGGGGGATAATTGAGTTGAATTTTGGATAATGGTTGGTTTCAGTCACGATAAAGTACAAACAGACTGAACCGGTCACTGCTAGCATTTGATATCTGACCTCGTAGCTGCTACAAAGTAAGAACAAATTTCAGTAACCCTAACCCTGTTGCCCCCGGCTCTTCAGGCCTGACACAGTCTCGGTCGGCGGCTCTGCTCCGGATTTTACAGTCTGCACAGTTGGCGACCTGCCCACTCCTGAACACCTTCACTACGTGCTCTGACCCAGCTCTGCATCCACCTGTGATCCGTTCAGTCCAGCAGTGATGTCGTCCATTCTGCCTTGATTTAAGCTTTCGTATCACAGTTTGTGCATGTGTTACAGGCCCCACTATGATGGGCGCGTAGCCAGATTACGATCCTGTAAAACAGGAGAGAAAGTGAACACAGGCGCCACGCTGCCTGGTCAGTCTTGCCAGAATGGAAAACTCAGTTCCCAAAGCACGCTGCTGCCCCCTACTGTCCAAAGTGTTATACACTCTCCTGGCAACAGGGAACTTACATGACATTGTGGATTTAAATTACACCAATAAACCAGCAAAATAAAACATGCATAATAATCTCCATATATCACGACACTTAACTCACAATTGAGACCACATTTCTGTGTGGATCGCACATGCAATGTGAAAAGTGTTTCTAGGTAACACTGCTTTCAAATGTCTTTATAGTATAAATTTCTCTATCCTCTGCATCTTCAGAGTTCATTTTGAGTGCTCTCGTTGCTCTCACTGCAGGTTGTCTGCCGCCTGTTGTCCCTCCCTGAAGATTACTGGAGGCGTATCCTCATTGGCCAAATCCCCCCCTCTTCCTCCACCAGTAAGCTGGGCCAGAGGGAAGGGCAAGGTGAGTGTGCACCTTTTTTAATTTTTCGGGAAACCTGAGGCCTCTTTAACCATCGCTGTGAATCGTCCGACTGCTTCAGCCTCCTTTGTTTTCTTTCACAGTGTAACTGGACCTCTTAATACAAAGAAGGAAGCACTGAACCTTTGTTTTTGTTTTTTAATATATATAAAAATTTTCCTCTCAGGTCGTTTCTTCCAGCCGCTGACATCTCCAGAGTTAAACAGTTACCAAGCTACAGCAGGAAGATCTGTGAGAGGGCGAGTCAGGAACCGGGCCAATGCGTAAGACCACGCCGCGTTAACGCAACATCCACAAACTCTTGAGCAAATACTGAGGAAGATCATGGGGCTGATGCGTATTAGTAAAATCAACTTTAGTTCTAAGACTGGGAGAATTTCTGGGTTTTAGTTTTCCCAGTATAAGTGCAGCCCTTTAATGCAAGTTAAAGATATTAGCGTTGTTGTTTCAGTTCTCTCATGTCATGGTTTGTTTGTTTTGTCCTCAGAGGTCGACCAGAGCCAGCGAGGAAATTCTTCACGTCGCCCAGCTGACAGATGTTGAACCTCTAACCTGTTTGAGCACACACTAATGCTGGACCTTGGCCTGATGATCATTTTTATAGATTTCATGCTAACCACATGAAGTTTGTTATCGAGGCACTTTAAAAAATTACAAGTTGGAATAAAACGTGATGTCCTATTCTTTGCTGTGACTTTCATTTCATTTGAAACCGTTGATCTCCTTCCTGTCGAGATCAGCCCTTTTGGTTTTTTACTTCCTGGACACCTTTTTCTCCTTTCCTTCCTAGTCTCTGGGTTTCACATGAAGTTCGTTGATAATGACCCAGTAAACAAAGGGTCTGTTCTGAACAGAGATGGGCAGTAACGCGTTACTTGTGTGTGTGTATATATATATATATTTTTTTCTTTGTTTCTGCAGGTGATGCTGACCCTCAGCTGTGCAAGAACTGATGTCTTCAAACATTAAAGAAAAATTGCATTGACTGTCAATCATCTTGGTTTTAGATGTTGCAGTGTGCCGCTAACTCTACGGACAGTGAACCAAGTCTTCTAAATACAATAATGTTCACTGAATAAAGGGTATTATGGCCTGTAAATAAATGCAGCAGGATAACTGGGTGCCAAAATTCTACTGCTAGTGAGCTGAAAATACATTCCTGTGTCTAAGCCGCTCCCCAAGTAACACAAAAACATTGCTGGCATGAGTAAACCCATCATATGTTCCTACATCAGGTTTCTTACAACTGTGTATGGAACAGTAAGAAGAAAGTCGAGTTAGTTTTGGACTGTCACTTCATCTTTGTTGGTGTAACCCTCTGAATAAAATGTTCAAAAAGCAAGTCTTGCAACTCCACAGCCATCTGAAATGCCTGGAAGGATTTAAAATGTTGGTTTTTGAAACATAATCTAAATTAAGTTTAAGTGTTCATTAAAACATAAGAATTGTACGTTCAGAATCACAGGTCATATCTATGGAGGCTTGTTTCCTGTACTGGGAAAAAACAAAAGTATAAGTCAGAAATGTTTTTTAAAAATAGCTTTTATGTTATCTTAGATTTTCAATTTATCCCAATATTTCATTTTTAAGTCAAAGTTCCACAATACTAACCTGAAAATATTGACTGTTTGAAAAAAGAAAAAGCAGGCAGTATATAAACAATATAAGATTAGGTTGACAACCTGTTACACTCATTTGCTCCTAACTGTTCAGTAGATCGGTAAAACACTTCCAAGTTGCAAGCTAAATGCAGGTTTTACCAGGTGTGGTTAATCACTGTAATTGCAACTGCACCAATATAAAGTGAACAGCAACCACACACCAGTTAAAGCACAAACCTGCAGCAGCACCTCCATGTTTTTCATCCCAACTTGCTGTAGATGAGTCGTGCTGCTTTTTGAGTTAGACATGGGGCTCAAGCTTGTTTTGAAGTGAGTAGTGAAATTTAATGCTGTCTGATTTAGTAGTTTATCTACAGAGACTTGTTTGTTTTTTCACAGGGTTTCCTGCATTTGTTTCCTGCTTTTCAGCAGTGGATCTTGTTTCTCTGTAACAATGAAAGGTAAGCTATTCCTTCAACTTCAGAATGCCTAGAAGCTCAAATTAACTTTGTTTTACAAGCTTACATTTAGTTGAAATCTTTTAATTCAGGGCAAACTAGTCAAGCTGTAACTGCCAGTGCTATAAGTGCTGGCACTAACCCTGGACATGATGGCTCTACTGGCGGAGAGGCTGGTTCTGGCCCTGGATCTAGTGGTTCTACTGGAGAAGAGGCTGGTTCTGGCTCTGGACCTAATGGTTCTACTGGAGGAGAACTCGATTCTGGCCCTGAACACAATGGTTCTGCTGGAGGGGAAGTTAGCTGTTGCAGCTCTGCAGGAGGCTGGTCCTTTGGCTCTGGCAGCTCCAATGGAGGTGGAGTTGATTCTGGATCTGCTGGCTCCACTGCCAGAGGGGTTGGCCCTGGCAGCTCTGCAGGAAGTTGGTCTTTTAGCCCTGGGAGCACCAGTGGAGGAGGGATTAGCAGCTCTGCAGGACATTGGTCTTTTATTCCTGGGAGCTCCACTGGGGTAGCAGTTGGCCCAGGAGGCTGGTCCTTCAGCCTTGGGAGCTCCAGTGGAGGATGGGTTGGCCCTAGAAGCTCTCCAGGAGGCTGGTCCTTTGCTCCTGTTGGCCCCATTGGAGAGGTTCGCCCAACGTGGTCTAATGGTTATTCATTCCTTGGTGGTGTTCCTTATCAAAATTATCCTGTATTAAGTTCTTCTTTCCTTACCACCCATGGAACTGGATGCCACCACGTCCCTTCCCTGACTTCAATGCCTGGTCTACTTATGAGGTGCCACTAGGTATGGTTGCGCTGCTCCCTCAGGTACCTTCATTGCCTTCGTCGCATCTTGTCCAGACTGGAACTGGCTACCAGCGAGGAAGAGAAGTACTTTCTCACTCCAAATATTCTAATAATATCTTGGGCCACCATCCTCTGAGTCCTGTACTGCCACAGTACCCAAGACGTGCGAGTGGATTTCAAGGGATAAAAGTCTAATGAGGTAGCTACATGCAGTGAAGCATTAATGACTGAAGGTCCTTTTAATTGACTTATTTCTTCTTAATCTTGCAGGTGAAACTGAAGAGCATGTATCTGCTTTCAAGAAGCCTTTTGGATATGGAATAAAGACTTTAATAAAGCTGAGTGTTCTGTGCATTTGATTGTAATTCGATGTTTAAATGATTTGTTTCACTTCTATCAAGTAACTGATCCCAAAGGCTACAGCCTGAGCTGCTTGGTGTGCTCCAACAGTGCTAGATTCTGGCTCTAGTTGCAAAGAAAAGGTATCCCATGGATTTTCTTGCTCCTTTATTATACAGTGTTGAAAGTAGGCATCAAAATTCTGCTGGAAAGTGCTTGATCATCTGACTCTTGCATTGACTTGAAGTTGTAGGGTTTTCAACTTTCAATATTAAGCACTTTGGGGCAGCTGTGATTTGGTGGTATTAAAAATAGAACTGATCCTTAACCCAGGCCTTTACCGATCTGGTATGGGGAATCTCATTCGTTTTTATACATTTGAACAAATGCAGTTTCTGATCTTGTCAATTCCAGTCTTGAACTCTACAAATTATATTAACTCTTGGGTCAAACTTCAGCTGATGTGGAAAGTGTGTATAGTGTGGGTTGTGTTTTTGTGGTCTTTGGTTTTTTTTTTTTTTTTTTTTTTTTTTTTAAAAATGCAGGAAACCATGAGGCTTGGAATACAGAGACTTCTCCTATCATACGGAAGCTATAGTAATGATAGGCATAATCTGGCTGGTACTCCATTTAAAAAAAAATAAATAAATATATATATATATAAAAAATGAATGATCTGAAAGATACATTGAATCAGTTTGTTAAAAATATCATTTGTCTGGTTTGATGCACTTAAGCTTAAAAATGAAACATGAGCACTATCCTAATTCTCACCTATTTTGGGCAATAACTTGGCCTTTGACCCTGGTTGGAAAGACTCTGGTTTTAAAATGTGGGCTGCCAGAGGTTTGTGCAAAGTTGCAGACCTATTTGACAAGGACACCCTAATGTGCTTTAATGACTTGACATGGAAATTTGGAATTCCAACCAAACATTTCTACAGATCAGAAGCTTCATTTCAAAAATCCCTAACACTGCCCACTCTAAACTCATTAAAGGACACAGCAATAAACCATCAGCTGAAGAAGGGTATAACATCCCGTCTTTATAACAACCATTGAAATCTGCTGCAGTGACCCGGTTACTGCATTCACCAGATATCAACACAATTTCGATCCGCTCCTCACGTGTTAACCTCTTCGACATGTCGATGGCTGTGAACAAAGAGAAACTTGTAAATAACTCATGAAAGAATAAAGTTACGTTGAAACCAAGCACACCATTGTTGTTCTTGTGACATTACCAATAAGTTTGATGTGTCACATGGCCCTCTTCCTATTGAAAAAACAAAAGTTGTATCCAAGATGGCCGACTTCTAAATGGCCACCATGGTCACCACCCATCTTGAGGAGTTTGCCCCTCACATATACTAATGTGCCACAAACAGGACTTTAACATCACCAACCATTCCCATGTTATTACGCTGTATCCATATAAATGGCCACCCTGTAGTATTACAAGTAGGAGCTCAGTCTTCTTCTTCTTTATATTATTTATTGGTGGTTGGCAAACAGCAAAACGGTGCAATACTGCCACCAACTGGGTTGGAATGTGAACCAAAATGTTAACAAAATAAATAAATAAATTTTTACAAAAAAATTAAAAATTAAACACCTCCCAAACAAATGAGTCTGCCATAAAAACCAAATATGGTCTGATAACTTTCCCTTCTCGAGTTCTTATGAAACAATTCAACCAAGCCCAGTTTCACTTTCATATCACCAAGCATATCAATTCTTCCGTCTGCATCATATTTCTGACAATGCATCAAAAAATGTTCTGTTGTTTTTTCTTCTCTATTGCAGTCAAACTTTCCTGTGCAGGGTTCAGTATTGTTCAGATTCCAGGCTCAAAAGAATGCATCATTGACTGGGGAGTGATGGGCACCAGGTGAAGTGAATGAATTTAACGAGAGCTGCCAGCATGTTGAGCACCAATATAAGCCATGCATTTGCTGCCAGCTACTTAATGGACACTGAGTTGATCTGTAAGCAGCTGGCAGCGTGTTGGTACCAGCCTGTTGATACCAGCCTGTTGTAGCGGACCCTTAATCATGGTGCTTGTCTTTATGCTGAGGTTAGTTGTGCTGTTTGATGCTTGATGTCTCTTTTATAATTTAAGTGTTTTTATATAAAACATGTTATATCTTTAACAGGGTTTCCTGGATTTGCTTCCTCCTTTTTGGCCGAGGTGCTTGCCTGCCTGTGTTAGTTAAAGGTAAGTCTTCCTGTCTAACCTCAAGAGTTGGTCTTGGAAATCTAGCTGTAGCAGAACTGAGCTACCCCACCCCCCGCTTTTTTTTTTCCTCAGAAAACTGTAATTTTATACTTGACTGAAAAGCTTGGTCTGCTAAACAAGTAATAGAAGGGTTTTCTTTCAGTGCTACTCAGAGCAAAATTTGCAAGAGCTTCATTGCAACTTGACAAGCTCAGTTTCAGTAAACTTATTTCTGCTTTCAGGTCAGTCTGGTGGCACTGGAAGATTGGGCCACCTTGGCTGGGTACCTGGTACTGGAGGGGTTGGTGCTGTCAGATGGTTCCCTGGAACTGGATTGCGTGGGGATGGTAGCACTGGATCTGTAAGAGTTGATACTGGTGACTGGGCCTCTGGTGCTGGCAGATCTGGTGCTTTAAGTGTTGGCACAACTGGGGTTGGTCGTGACACCTCAGTTACTACAGGGCTTGGTGTTGGCAGCTCTGGTACTAGTGGGGTTGACGTTGGCAGTTCTGTTACTGCAGGCGTCGGTGCTGGTAGCTCTGGAGGGGTTGGATCTGCTGGCGGCTCCGGCTCTGGAAGGGTTGGTATTGGTGGCTTTACTGGATCCTCATTTTTTGCTGGCTTTCCATGGGTAAATGCTCCTACAGGGGGAGCTCCTTCCTCCTTTGACCCACAGGACTGGATGCCCTCTCAGACCTATCCTGACTTTAATGCCTGGTATCCCTCTCAAGTGCCACTTGGCATGTTTATGGCTCCACCTGCATTGCCTTCATCCTACATCATCCAGAACGGCAATGGTTACCAGCGAGGAAGAGAAGCCTTTTCTTACTCCAAATACACTGACAATGTCTACAGCCCCTTCCCTCTAAGCCCCGTGCTGCCACACGATCCAGAAAGTGTCCCAGTGGTTGATTCTCAAAGGATAAAGGATTGAGGTAAGGCACAGTTACGAACCAACTTGCTTAAATTTGGAGAAACATGTGTAGTGACTGTTTGTTCTTGCAGGTCAACTTGATGAGCTGAGCCTGGGCCTCCATGCATCATGTGGTCATTAAATGCACTATAACAACAAAATCTGTTCTCCAGTCTTTTACTGGGCAACCAGTCATCAGGTCAGCTTTAGGTTTTTGTGGACAATGTCAGACACTTTGACGTTTACACATTCAGCATAGCCGGACTCTGCCTTAACTGGCTGAACCTGACACCATCACAGTCAGAGGTGATGGGTTACGACTTTCTTTAAACTGGCTGATATGCATGGACACAAAGGTTGTCTTGCAAGTCACGTGATTCTGTCACATTGGATGAATGATGATGAAAAGCATAATGAAGTGAAAGGCAACACTATAGCAACTACAACTCAAGACTTAAAATGGTGAGAATAACTCAAATATACTGAAAATACTCAACCAAGACCCCAGATCCCAAAGTCAAACCATGGCCTGACAAAGCTACAGTGTAAAAGTTTAACAGATGTCAGCAGCTTGCAGAATTCTACTGAATTACCTCCAGAAACGTATTTGCGTAAGCCTGGTTACAGTGGCTAGGATAACTTATTTTCATCTGTCAGAGACAAAACCTTAAATTGCAACTGTAGAAGGCAGTCAGTCTGCTGTTTACCTCAGCTTTCAATGCCAGGTGAGACGCAGCTGAACGATTTATCAGCAGGAAAGCGACTGTTAGGGCATTGGAGCCTAATGTTGGCGTATAACTGACTGCTGTTATTTGGCTCTTGTCAGCTTTCCAGAGATGAGAGGGTGACGTGTCTGACCTGGGAGCGTGTTTTTGTGTTAGAGCTCTGACTTAAATGAAGACAACATTTTAATAAGATGCCAGTGCCGTTCTCCTTGTGTTTTGGTGAAGGGGATCAAATGTAGGGTATGACGGTGCAGAAGTGAATCTAAATGTACATTCACGCAAACACCTGTGACTTCTTTCTCCTTCGGTTTGCACATTGCATCTCCGCTCTCTAGCACCACATACGTAAAACACCATTAGCTGCAAGGCAGATGTCCTTTCCCTCCACTGTATTCAGATATAGTGGCTTCCACAAAGTGCCAACCCACTGATATTTATTCTAGATTAATTATATGGGTCAGGTTAATGGAAGATGTAATTGGACACTAATCTGTATATTTGAGTACAGTATCCTTTTTACTAAGAAATTACTGATTTTACATTCTAATCTTTGTTATATCATGAAGGCAGAAGAAATGAATCAAATCTACTTTATTCTAAGAGAGCGAATGAAAGAAGGCACGAGCACAATCCTGGCCGCTTTCTCCTGGAGATGAAAGAGTGTGTCACAAAGAGCTCTTAAGTGTGGTTGTCTGTTTCTGTGCAACCTTTCACCTCTGCTGCTGCAACATTTCTACATGTGGAACAAAAGCTTCAAACAGGGGAAGCTGGTGCAATACTGAGCACTTTCTGTTTATTTAACAAAATGTCATCACAGAAGGCACTAAGCTGACCAATGAGGTGTCGTAGTCAGCTTCATTATGTTAAACATAAGCATAGTGACGTGTGTTTGAGTGCACAGAGCTCTGAATGTAATGTGACAGAAGCACGTCCATAACTGAAACGTTGAATCAGCATTATGTATATAATAAGGGCCTCAATACAGAACCTTGTGGCACACCATAGGTGAGGGAAGTGGAAGATGACTGTACTTAAAACCTCAGCTTGGATAACAGATTCTGGTTATCATACTTCTCAGATTAAAATATATTACAGATATAAAGTTATATGCAGACGACAGCGTTTCATCGTGTCATCCTGCTGATTTATGAGCACAAACTTGGATAAATTTGTGATTTGCTCAGTTGCCTTGATGCTGCTGCTATAAACACTCAAGAGGTTTCACATAGTCCTGAACCTGATGGAGACTCCATATTGATATTGGGAACAGTGGAGCAGTTTTCACTGACTGAGTGCAGACTAACAACTGTTTAGAGCAATCTGAAGGCAACACAAACATCTCAAAGATCTGTTGCATATTGAAATGGAGTTTGGATTTCTGGCACTTCATCGCCTGGAAGAAGTTTTACTTCTTCAATTATCCAATTCAGGGTGCTTGTTAATTGTGCATATTACTATTAAGATATTTCTCTCTGATTTCTGCCAGTGCTGGACCCACCCACTATGCATCATATGCTTTATTTCCAGAAGTTTCTGATTGGAGCAAATTCCAACTTCACAGCCTGTAAATGGCTGATTACTGCAGGGAATAAGTGAGATTTGCGGGCATGCACTGGGCTGAAAATCAAGTTGTTGATGCAGTGGTTGAGCATTACACAGGCTGCAATGATCATGATCATGTGACTGTGCAACATGGTTTCTCCGCTTGTTTTTATTACGTGTCTGCCTCACACATGTAACATTTCAGTCTGGGCTGACTGATGTTCATCGGGTAGAAAGAGCTGCAGTTTTATAAAAGAGTGAAACATTTCCACAATGGCACAAACAGATTTCTGTGTTTGCTGTTAATGACCTGAAACGTTTGCTGCTGTCGGTGACCTCCGGCGTTTATAAGAGTTCTTTAAAAAAACTATAGTTTTAAAATCAAACATCATCAGCGGATTATAGGAAAAAAGTTTATCGTATCAGACAAAGAAAATTAACTTACAGGTTTCGTTTCATTCATATATTTTTTGTGGGCGCGATAATTAAGAGGATACGTTATAAACTCGTTCTTTTGTTTTTCATTTACATATAAAAGCCATTTAAATATTTTGCATGTACACAGGCTGAATTCTGAAGAATGTTTTTTTCTTCCTTTATTGCCATTTTTGGGTTGTTGTTAATCAGCACCATAATAATAAAACGTGGGACACTGAGTCTGCGATGAGACGTAAGCTGAACTTTGACCTCTGTCATAAAAGAACGATATGAAATATAGATGTGAACACCTCTGATGGTCCACCAGTAACACGCGATAAATTAGTTATCAATTAATTATCCAGATATTAGGAAGAAAACAGAAGCTCGAAACATGATCACGTGTTCAGTTTTTAAGAGTTTGGTGACGTCACTGAAGCTGTCAGGTGTCTTTCTTTCCTTCAAAGCTCAGGTGCCTCAAAGGCAGTGAAACTCTGCCCTCTGGTGGACACACGTCACCGTCACAGCCTGGCTTCCTGTTTCCTGTGATGCTGTCAGGTTTCTGGGAGTCCTGGGCAGTGGCGGTCCTAGCCTGTTTGGCGCCCTGGGCGAACCCTCCCTCAATCATAATTCGTTGTACAATGAGAAAAGGACAAATTGACAATGATTAATTAATATTGTGCTGGAAACAGTCCAAAAGATTCAGTCGGCTACATCAGTGTCTACTGTTTACTCTCATAGCCAAGTGGCTTACAGACGTTTCCACTATCCCTGCTAATGAATGTTTTCTTGTTGTATCTCTGTGGTCAGTGCTATGAGTGGTTGAGGGTCACTGATCCACAAGGCCAGTAATGTTGTGGGGATGGAGCTGGACTCTGTTAGGGTGGTGTCTGAGAGGCCGATGTTGTCCAAGATAAGGACAATCATGGAGAACACCTCCCACCCACTCCATGACGTACTGACTAGTCACAGGAGCACGCTCAGTGAGAGACTGAGGTCACCAAAGAGCACCACTGAAGGACACCGGAAGTAATTCCTGCCCGTGGCTCCCTGTACAACTCCATCTAATCACACTGTAACACTGCAATAGTTACACCCTTTTTACACACGCTCTTTCTGCTCTGGAATATTCTGTCAATCACCTCTGTTAATCCTTGATATTTATAATTGAGTGATCTGTATATATTAGTGCTATTTCTTACATGTGTAAAATCTGTAACATAATGTGTTGTTTGGAGTTTAGTCTGTTACTGTTCTTCTTGGAGCAACTGTATTAATCCCTAAGGAAATAATGTGGGTTAAAGTATTCTGATTGGTTCAGGATGAGCTGCCATCATCCAATCACACATCTGCTTACCTGCATCTTTTGCTCGTTTCTCCTGCTTTTCTATTTTTTCTAAACTGAGCACCTGATGGCTTTGAACTTTTCTTGTCCGTCTTCCATATGTTTTAATTTTGCACTCCAGTGTGAACACTCATCCCCCAACCCGAGGATCACCACAACATGACCTAACAGACCTACACCTTAGTTCACAGGTTCAGTTTGTCTAAGGTGTATTTCTGGGATTTCGCACAACCCAGGATTCAGATCATGAATACATGATGGGCTTGGATTTACATCATCAAATATTGTGTGTGAGACTTTAAAATTTACAGTTTGACGATTTAAATTGTTATTGATCCCTTTACCCTTGATCCTATTATTATTATTATTGATCCTAAAGTGTAGATTTATTTCCTTACTCTTATAGTTATTGTTTGTTTACTTGCACTGCTGTAACTGGAGCCTCGTCTTCTCGTCTCTCTATATACTGGACTGCAGGGGTCGGCAACCCTGGGCAACTGATGGTGCGACCATAGCTGGTCATCAGGCATACCGGGCATTTGCTCGGTGGGCCGATGATTTTTTTTTTTCTTGTAACGGCAGAAACAATCAGAGGTGGTGTATTGGCCAGATGCTGGCTGATGTGTAAAAACAACTCAGTAGTTTGGTGGTGGCTGTGGCTTCCACAGAGGCCAGCAGGTGGATGAGGGAAAGGGGAGGCAGGAGGAGCAGCGTGTTCTTGCAAACATCGTGGGGTCTGCCGTGATATGTTTACAATGGGACTTCTGCTCCTGAACCTCTGCGCACAGCGTCTGTAAATCGGGGCCTTCATCTTTACAGGACTGTAAGCTGTCGTCTGTGAGGCGTGAGCGCTGTTTGTTTTTAACATAGTTCACGGTGGAGCTGCTGACATAATGTGGATCCGAAGGTCCATAACTGGCCTACCTGGGGTTGAAAGTCTCGATAAATGCGCGTTGTTTCGGCGGGTACACCAGCTTCCGCGAGTGTGACGCTTATTATGAGCGATGAAAAATTTATAAAATATAATTTAATTTTTATATTTAAATATCACAATAATCTTCCAGTTTAGAACTACAAGTTAAAAAAGAAATAACATAAATATAATGTACTTCAGCTAAATATTTCTAATTTATTTTCCCAAACCACGCGGAGCCGCAGTATAAGGACTAAGGAGCCGCGGCTCCGGACCCCTGATATGTTTAAACCAACAACGGTGTACATCACTGTCACAGCATTGTCAGTTCAGCCTTTTCTATTGTGTTTAACCCGAGTGACCGCCCGGCCAGCTGGTGGGTAACAGGCATCTCCGAAAATAAACAGAGCCAGTGAGAGTGAGTGGATTTAAGAAAGTCAGTGACTCAGGTGTGTCGCTTGGTTTGTCATCTGTTTGTGAGACTGGAGGAGACGTAGAAATCGTTTGTTTTAAATCTTCGTTAGGAAGGTTCCTGTTTCTAAAGTTTCTATTGTTTTAGTGCAGGTTTTTGATAATTCTGAGTGGATTTACACAGTACGGGTCAAAATGACCTGCAACAAAATCAATGTCATTTTTTTGTTTTTCAACATAATACAAGGGTTCATTTCCAAAACTTGCATATGATCTTCAATTTGTAGCAGATCCACTATCACACAGCAGCTAGAGCAGTCTCCAGTGGAGGTCAGTCCACTGCTGCCACCTGTGGCCAAGTACCACAGCCTACTGACACATCTGCACCTGCTGCTATGATCACAGTGAGTAGAGGCTGAGTGGCTGCACTAACCCCTGGTACATCTACTCACCAACATGTTGAAAGATGCAATGGCAGCAATGTGGATTGTCAACACTAAAAACAATCAGTAAGCAAAGACAACAGGGATCAATTTTTACTGTTTATTTAGCACCCACAACATTTGTAGTCGCCTTCTGCACAGGGGAAGTCCACACACACTGTGTGGTACCACTTTCCACAGAAGGTGCATTCAGTCTGCAAGACTGAATGAGATCGTCAGAGTCTGACTGTTTATTACTGATCACCTGCTGTACATTCACAGTAACTGCCGTCTCCTTACAAATGTTTATTAGATTAACCACACTTATACAGACTGTATAGAGATAGATAGATATATAAAGGACACAGGCAGACTCTGCTTACAGGATGTGATGTGACAACACTAATGAAATATTGATGTGTCATATTTGTCCAAGGCGTGTTTCATTGTTATGGAAAAAGAGAATATCAAAATCATGATGAACAGGGGTGGTGAGTTCTATGACTTTGTGTATATAATTTGGAATTTTGTACAAATGTAGGCCAATAAAAAAAAATATATGTTATCTTTTTTCTCTTTTTTCAGGGTTTTTTTTGCGCGGCGCACACGGAGACACTTTTGAGGTGTACACGTGTTGTGCAGATGTGTGTCAGGCTGATCTGGCTGTGGGCTGTGGCACTTGGCCAGAGGTGGCGCTGGTTGACTCGAGTCCATGTTAGTGCACAAAGCAAACTGCTCGCTTCACTCTTGCTGTCCTGTGAACAACATCGGCGTGGTGTTAATTGTTTGCTGTTTTCGCGATCGCGTCGCGCGTGAGGATATCACCAGGTAAACTCGCGACATCTTTAAACATTTTGTTGTTCAACAGCATCACGACGGACGGAGTGTGTTTGAGACAACCTCACAAGTGTCACAGGTGACACGTTTGGCGTTTTTTTGCTGGTTTGTCGGTAGCAGCTCCTGAAACGCAAGACTGCCACACATCTGTTCCACCAACGCCAGTAGATCTGGAACACCGGCCACGAAAGGGTTTTGTTTACAGCGTCCGCGTGACGTCAGAGTCAGCTGTGCCTCGCGCAAGCGCTGTCCGCGTGCACGCGCGTGTGTGGATGATTCAGCAGCAGCGGCTCGAGCTCTGAGCATGTGCGGCACAAACAGACTGCACGCGGACAAAAGGCGTTCACGTTAGCGTCTCCTCTCCGTCAGGGCGCGCGGAGGTGATCGTCGGCAGCGCGAGACCCGCCGAGCCCGGGAGGAGCATCCACAGGCCCCACAGCTCAGCGCCGTTTACTGGGACTCTTACCGCCGCCCGGCCTCCAGCACACCGCCAGCGGCCGGATATTACCTCGGCACAGCCCGGCTCACAGCCCCATTGCAGCTCGGCTGTCTTCATCCAGCCGAGCTGCATATTTCCGCATTTCGGCGTCAGATGCTCCGAGTGGTTCGCAGGTGAGTGTGAGGAAACATCTGCTGAGAGGACACACACACACACCCCACGTCCAGTGTGTGCGTGCGTGTGCGTGCGTGCGAGAGACCTGAGGGGCAGACAGATCTGTTTCACAATCAATTAATTACTTAGATTTTCTGTCAGCTGGTCAGGTGTGTAACCTATCTGACGTCAGAAAAGGTTACGGGTTGTTTTTGATCATTTTGTCCTAAAGATAGTTTATTTTAATGAACTGATCGAACAATTAATCGATCAGTCGGTCTCTTTCCGGTGAAGCAATCACTCACACAGCTCAGAAAGTCTCACAGGACGGTGAAACTTTAGTTTGGTGTTGACGTCACACAGCAGTTATCATCACCGGCTAAACTAACCTGGTAATAACCTGGTAATAACATAACTGCTCTCTGTATTACTCAGATCAGCTGATTGATTAGTGTGCTGTTTATAAAACATCAGATGTTTTTACTGCAGCAAACCGAAGACTAATTGATTATTCAGTTAATCAATGCTCAGCTGATTTCTTTTATTGATCAGTTGGGTTAGTTAAGGTAAACGCTTGCCTACAAAGAGCCAATCAGCAGCTGATGTGGGAGTCATAACAGCCAATCAGATTCAGGCACAGAACAGACCGCTGAGGTGAAGTCACCAAACTTGGGCTCGATTCCAGTTTATTGTAGGAATGAAATATCAAGTTGAATTCATTTATAAATCACACATTGTGGAGTGCCCACTCCGGGTCGGGGATGAGTTCCTGCCCCAAGTGGAGGAGTTCAAGTATCTCGGGGTCTTGTTCGCGAGTGATGGGAGAAGGGAGCCGGAGATCGACAGACGGATTGGGGCTGCAGCTGCTGTAATGCGGACGCTGCACCGGTCCGTCGTGGTGAAGAGAGAGGAGCTGAGTGTAAAAGCGAAGCTCTCAATTTACCGGTCGATCTACGTCCCTACCCTCACCTATGGCCACGAGCTGTGGGTAGTGACCGAAAGAACGAGATCGCGGATAGAAGCGGCGGAAATGAGCTTCCTCCGAAGGGTGGCTGGCCTCTCCCTTAGAGATAGGGTGAGAAGTTCGGCCATCTGGGAGGGGCTCAGAGTAGAGCAGCTGCTGCTCCACATCGAAAGGAGCCAGCTGAGGTGGTTCGGGCATCTGACAAGGATGCCCCCTGGGCGCCTCCTGGGTGAGGTGTTCCAGGCATGTCCCACCGGGAGGAGGCCCCGGGGCAGACCCAGGACACGCTGGAGAGATTATATCTCTCGGCTGGCCTGGGAACGCCTTGGTATTCCCCCGGACAAGCTGGAGGAGGTGGCTGGGGAGAGGGAGGTCTGGGCCTCTTTGCTTAGGCTGCTGCCCCCGCAACCCGACCCCGGACAAAGCGGATGATGATGGATGGATGGAAGGATGGACATTTGTTTATTTACTTTAAGCTCAAGTTCTGCCTCCTAACGAGCTGCAAGCACTAAGTTAATAACATGGAAAGGTTCAGCTTCCCCTTTCTGAGTAAGTTTCATTCAGTGGATCCAGACGTGTGTGATGGTGATGATTTATTGACTGCTCGGTGCTAAAGCACACAGACAGGAAACATGGAGTTTGATTTTCCCCGTCAGCATGAAGAGAAAGTACAGCAGGCCTCAGCAGTGAGAGTCTAATACATCATCCGGGCATTTAACCTGAGTCTTAAACTGGAGCACGAGCCCCGGAGTCTGCAGTCATGGAGGAAAGGCAGCGCGTGTACTGTGAAGTGAGCTGATGTGGGTTGGTCGGCAGAATCAGGTGTGAAAGCAGCTGCAGAGGCGAGTCCCCTGCTGCTCTGTGGCGCTCTCGCTGCCAGCTTCAGCAGCTCTCTGAGGGAACCTGCTGACACCGAGACCGATGGCAGGAGTCCAGTCTGTCTGCCCATCTGTCTCTCTGTGTGGCGTTTCCACCCGGCTGGACTTCATTCCTGCCTTTCTCCTCCTCGCCCTCTCCCTCTGAGACGAAGAGCCCGACGGATAACGGAGAGGGGATGAGTCACAGCACAGAAAACAGAAGCCCTGCTGGTGCTTTCATTAGTTTTGTGCCTCCTGTTCAGGTTTTTGTTCACATACCAATGAAACAGAAGCTAGTTTCATAGACGGGTCCCGGCCTTTTGTGTCTGTAGCCCGCTCTCACCCCTGAGGAAGACAAAGGAGCTGCAGAGGGAGGAGTTTGGATCCAGCTGATCAAACATTAATTGTTTCCAGACTGTTGGATGAATAATTGAAGTGGAAGGTGTAGTCCTACCTGCAGCCTGAGCAGGTTTAACTTTGCTGTTTCAAAGTTGTTTCCTCAGGCTAATGTTTTCCATCAGGCCTTCAGCACAGATGGCATAGTTAGTGTCCTCTGTGGGCTGGCAAATCAAGATAGTGGAGTCCCCGTGTTAGATGAAAACAAGTTTGTGTGTGCGTGTTGGAGGCCGAGCCGCTCTGCTGGGGTTTGGATGGAGGTCACCTTGGTGTCGACCCAAAGATTAAAATCGTGCTTGCTGAGGCAGCATTTTGTAACGTGTTATGTATCAATGAAAGAAAATGAGCATTTAACTCCAACTTTTATTTTTTAAAAGGAATTCCCCCCAAAGGTCAGCGTTACATCTGACCTTCTCTGATTTGATCTCAGTCCTCATCATCCTGTGTCATCTTTGTAAATGAAATCTGAGCTTTTTGTTTCACTGGTGGAAACTTTCTTCTGCATGTCGGAGCTCAAATCGCAGCTCTGGTCGTGCGTTGGTGCCAAGCTAATGCTAACAGCGGATGGCGGTGTCTCTCTGTGCAATCCTCGTCCTCCGCCGTGAGCTTGTTGGAGCGATATCTGATGCCCTCTCCGTCTGTGCTGATGGAGGTCAGCAGCAGGAAATGTTTGGTGAATCTGTGGATCTCTAGCTGGGTGGTGTCTGCCTGCTGCTTCCTCACTGATCAGATCATGTGAGCCGAGCTCGGCGAGGACGAGCGTGGAGGAAACGGAACATGTAAACAAAGGCTGATGTAAGTGTAGCTATTCATGCAGAAACAAATTACATCAGGACATGAGAAGGGTTCATGTGGAAAATTCATTCCTTTTAAAGTTTAAAGAAAATCAGTGAGACTGACTCCAAGAAGCCAGAAATCTTTATTTATTGAATTCATTTTTTAACTGCTTAGAAAAAATGAACCCAAAAACAGAAGAAAATACAATCTCTGAAAAACGAGCAGTAAAAAGAATATATGTCTGGAAATAAAGTGGAAATTGACTTAAAAATATTATTAAAAAGCATGAAAAACGAATCTAAAATTAAATTAATGGGAAATAAAAATTACTTTTTAAATCAAACGTGGCCGAAAAATATGAAGTAAATATTTCCTAATAAATACTGAAACATTCTCAAATAAATAAAAAACAAAAATAAACGATATAATAAATAGAAGAGGAAAGAAAACAGAGTCCAGGTTTAGAATATGATAAACATGGAATATTTTTAACTAATATATTGTTAGTTTATTTATATTGTACAATAATAAAAATATTTTGTAACATTAATATGTAACAAATCTAATATACACATCATGATACATACATGATAAAAGTATTCTTAATGTTTAATTCTAAAGACTCAAACATTCAAAATGTGAAAAATCCAGTTTAAAAATGTTTAAACTATTACAACTTTAATCCCTCAGGTTTGTGAAAGCTGCGTCTGAGCTGCTGATCTGCAGAAGTGTTTCCTGTTGCTGTGACGTGGTCTGGATTGGGGGGCGGGGGCTGCAGACAGAGTTGGGGAGGATGGAGTTGACATGGGGAAGGTGGAGGCGAGCGACCTCCAGGCAGCACGAGCAGCGTTCAGCTCCTGACAGGAAATCCAGCACCGGCTGCTGACTGACGGCTAACGAACAGCCCGCGCTGCTAAACGCTGATCAAACTTTATTGACACAGAGGCGATAAACACAGATGGAGTCAGAGAACAGCAGAAACCAATCAAAACATAAATATTTATTTATTTTTAATACGACTAAAAATAAAACAAAACATAATAAAAACAAAAAAAGAAAAATTCAAAGATTAAAAAATAAAGTTTTAAAAGAAATGTAATAAAATGACATGACAAAATCAGATGATCACACGCTAAACAAATGAAAACAGAATAAATGATAAAGTACAATAAAATATTATTCATTATATAATATGAATGTAATAATAAGTAAAATAGCATCAGTTTCCTTCCACAGATCCATGTCAGGCTCACAGAGGACCTGTTGAGTTAGTAACGAGTCGCTTTCTTCAGATAGATGAAACGTGTTGTTTCTCAGAGGGAGACTCTGACGGGCTCTTCCTGTTTGGGGGAGAAAATACTGAAATATTTTATATCTCTTTCAGTCTTTTGAAAGAGCTGAGGAGACGAGCACAGAAAGCTGTCGATGCTTTAAACAACGACCAGCACAAACACATTTGTTTATGAAAATGACGAGAATCTCCTCGTGGATCCTCGCTGCCGTCACCGCCCGCTGGAGACCAGTCAGACCTGAAATCCCACGACACCGTCATCAGTGTGACTTCAGACTGAAAACTGTCTGTGGGAAAAGTTTACACATCCTCCGTGTGTGTCTGTGGTGGACGAGGGTGTGTTTGTTGGTCTAACAGCCACCCGGGCGGGGCTCTCCTGCTGTGTGTTTGCCTGCGTGGAGGTGGTAGAACCTCAGGCAGTTAATAGTTGACACAAGGCAGGATGATCCAGGAACTCACGTTCACGCCACGTTCTGATCCTACCACCTGAATGTTGCCATGTTTCCACGTCTGGTGTTAAACGTGCTGAGCCTGTGAACCGCAGCCTCAGCTTCCTGTTCTCAGCTGAGTGGGTCCCACCCGGTGGGGTCTGCAGCTGCTGCAGCCCTGCTTCAAGCTTTCATGTGCTGTGTGTTCAGAGAAGCTCTTCTGCAACCTGCCTCCATTCATGTGCATATTAAAAAGCTAATTATTTAAAATAGTTTTTGCTGTTTTGATCAGTTTTTCGTATTTTTG